CTCACTCAGAGCTGACTGCCACAACAATAATTAGAAACACAGGTCAGGCCAAGTGGCTATGAATTGTGCCTCTGGGGCTCCAACTACACCAGTAGTTCTACTCCCTGGTATATCTTGGAAGAGAAAAATCTCACACATGGGTGCAAGGAGAAGTACTATAATAGAATTTTACTTTGCATTGTTATGTAAGAAAAAAGAAGGAAGAGAAGGAAGGGGAGGAGGAGGAGACTGCCTAAACTGTCTAAATGCCCGTCAATATGAGAATAGGTGACTAATCTGTGGAATAATCAGCAAATGAAGCATTATATAACGATAGAATGAATTAGAGCTGCAGGTATCAACATGCAAAATCTTACCAATAAGTAAAGAGTTAGAATTTTCAAAGGGTTAGCAAGGTGACTAGTTGTAAGACCAAAATGTAAAAATAAATTGCATTCTCTATAATAGCATCCAATGGTTAAAAACTGCAGCGTTCCAAAAAGACACCACTTATAATAGTAACAAAATTCTAAGGCAGAAATAATTTGTGTATTTCCTGACCTTTTATAGCTGTGGCTGTCAGTGAATACGGCCCAAAGACAACAGATCAAGACATAAACACGTAGCATATTTTCATATGACACAATGGCAAACATCAGAAATAAAGTATAGACAATTAAGAAAATCAGTAGATAAAGCATAGAGAAGAGGAAGTAGTGCAAGTCAAAAAAATTTCTCATTCTTCATGACTGTGGTTCTCAGAGAACGATACCTTCAAAAGTATCAGCATCACCTGGGAATCATCACCTGGGAACTTACTAGAAATAAAATTTCACAGTCCCCAGAAACTCGGAAGGTGTAGCCCAGTAATTTTTGTTGTAAGAACCCCCCCCCCACAAGGTTTTTCATGCATGTTACATTTTGGAAACAACTGTTTTCTAATGAGGTCAGAATAAATACTATTTAAATTGAGAGTATCAAAATCAAAAATCAGAGGTAGAACTATATTGTATTAATTTCCAGTGGCAGCCACCAAAGAACTGACACCAGAAACTGTTGACAGTGATTGTCTCTGGAGAGTCATGCTGAGTTTTTGAAGAAGGTGGAGTGTGAGCAAAAAGACTTTTTAAAGACATTTATGTCATTCTGAACTATTTGAATTGTTATAGCACGTTAATCTGTATTTTTTTTTTTTTAATGAGTAGGGGGAAGCTCTCTCTCATCTCTGTCTTTAGGGAAGGCTTTAACCCTTGTAAAAGTTACATTACTCAGATCATGACCAGCCAGAGAAACCTCAACAATTTACACAGGTCGTATTTAAAAAGAAAAGTGCCGAGAAGCTTCTCGGTGAGGCGGAGAGAGGTACACCTGGGGTTGGAAAAACCACACTAGGCAAAGAACTTGCCTCAAGATCAGGACTGAAATACATTAATGTGGGTGATTTAGCTAAAGAAGTCTGATCACCGGATATCATGGAGTCTGGCAAGATGGCTTCTCCCAAGAGCATGCCGAAAGATGCACAGATGATGGCACAAATCCTGAAGGATATGGGAATTACAGAATATGAGCCAAGAGTTATTAATCAGATGTTGGAGTTTGCCTTCCGATATGTGACCACAATTCTAGATGATGCAAAAATTTATTCAAGCCATGCTAAGAAAGCTACTGTTGATGCAGATGATGTGCGATTGGCAATCCAGTGTCGCGCTGACCAATCTTTTACCTCTCCTCCCCCGAGAGATTTTTTATTAGATATTGCAAGGCAAAGAAATCAAACCCCTTTGCCATTGATCAAGCCGTATTCAGGCCCTAGATTGCCACCTGATAGGTACTGCTTAACAGCTCCAAACTATAGGCTTAAGTCTTTACAGAAAAAGGCATCTACTTCTGCAGGAAGAATAACAGTGCCTCGGTTAAGTGTTGGTTCAGTTACTAGCAGACCAAGTACTCCCACCCTAGGCACACCAACCCCACAAACCATGTCTGTTTCAACTAAAGTAGGGACTCCAATGTCCCTCACAGGGCAAAGGTTTACAGTACAGATGCCTGCTTCACAGTCCCCAGCTGTAAAAGCATCAATTCCTGCAACATCAGCAGTTCAGAATGTTCTGATTAATCCATCATTAATTGGGTCCAAAAACATTCTTATTACTACTAATATGGTGTCATCACAAAATACTGCCAGTGAATCATCAAATGCATTGAAAAGAAAGCGTGAAGATGATGATGATGATGATGACGATGATGATGATGACTATGATAATTTGTAATCTAGCCTTGATGCATGTAACATATGTATTTGGCTTTGAATCCATTGTACTGAAATTAAACACGCATGCTGGATGTTTTCAAGTTGTGTTTTAGAAAACTTTAATAAGTAAATATAGTTACCATACTTTCAATTGAAATGTTGGATTTTCTTTAATAAGAATTAGTAATGGTTTTTTTTTTTTTTTTTTTGCTACCACACACTCTACTAGCTGATAGTAATGGTTTTTTAAGTGTAAAAAATAAAGTTATTGTTCATCAATCTGAAAAAAAAAAAAAAAGAAAAGTGCCAGGGTGGCTTTATATTGTACATCAATACTAAATCAAGACTTTGCTTCATGCCTGAATCCCTATTTCTACAACTTTTTACCAAGAATTACTGCTCAACAGAAAGAGACATCAAATGCATTTTCTTACCCTGGATTCTCAGTATATAGGGAGTAAAATATCTATCTTGCAAATGGTCAATGTTCATATGCCTTCAGTGGGTAGGAATCAAAAGGAAAGTGATTGGGAGGTTCTAGAAATGAGAAGTTTGTCTTCTCCACACATGGAAAAGAAGCACCCAGTTCCATGTAAGTTCTTGTTAGGAGAGGCAACCACCACTCCCCAGCTGTCATGTCTCCAAGCTGACCGCCATGCCACCAACTCTGTCCCTGCACGTACGTACACGTCTCTCCTCCACTGACAGGTGGAGTCTATTTCTCCCTTTGAATCTGGGCTGGCCCCTTGGTCTGATGGATAAAATATTTCAGAAGTGAATTTTGAACCCAAACCTTAAGCTAGCAGCCTCTACCTCTTTCTCCCAACATTTATCCTTGAAACTCAGGGACCAAATTTTGAGGAAGGCTAAACAGCTACATGGCAAGGCCCATGAAGGGGAGAACAGAGGTCCTTGGTCAACAGCCCTAGCTGAGCTCCCAGACAACAGCCAGCACCTACTGCCACAGATGCGAGTTACCTTTCCTGGATCTTCCACCCCTCGGAGGACAGCAGACCCACCTGACACCACATGGAGCAGAATGGCCCCACTGGGTCCATGCCACCTACAGAACTATGAATGATAAAACGGCTGTTGTTTTCGGCCCTTACATTTTAAGGTGATTTATTCTACAGCAATAGACAACTGAAACAGAACTTGGTATCTAGAAGCGGGGTATTGTAACAGAAACCTAAAATATGCAGCGTTGGCTTTGGGACTTTGTGGCAAGCAGGGGCCAGAAAGTCGTCAAAAGAAAAAATAAATAAATAAGCACTAAAGGAGCCTGAAAGGAGAGTGAGGAAATTGTTATTGGATGATGAAGAAAAGGCAGCCCATGTCTTACACAGGCGGAAAGTTTAGCAGCACTGTAAAACGTAGGCGGGCGTGTCTGCAGCAGCGTGGAAGACAGAGAGAGTGACTGATGGATATGCAGACCTGGTTAACACATTAACTGCCATGTGAGTTCTATTTAACTCACACTCGGTTTGAGCCTGGGGTTTAGTGAGGTACATACATAGGCTTCACACGTTCTTCACCTTGGGAGCCGTGAGAACTTGATTTCGAGTTGCATATAACTCACACACAGAAAACGATAAAAGAAATAACAATTTTTTTAATTAAATTAGAAAGGATCATTTTGTTTTCAACATTTTTATTCTATTTTCACAATAAAACACTGTGGCCCCAAGGAAAAAAATTTTTTTCTGGTGCGGCAGTCAATGTGTTAAAGAGCTATCCAGGCAGAAGGTTAAAAGTGAAACTTGCTTCTTTTGGCTGCCTATGAAAAAACAGATGAACAAAAAAAAAAAAAGAGAGAGAAAGGAGTGTGCAGATTGGGCGCAGAATTTACAAAGCACATAGAGACCTCAGGACCAACAAGACATTCTCAAAGGAAGAAATGGCCTTAAGGTAAAGATTAAACCCAGGTAGATGCAAGTAAAATGTAGTCTCAGAGAAAAGTTCAACCCAAAAGTGCAGGGATAAGACCCTTCCAAGACCTCAGAAAGACGTAAGACACTGTCTCACAGGCCCCTTCACTTCCAACACAACAGGGCTTCCAAGAACCCTAAAGGAGTTATCCCACAGCATTCTGACTGCAGGGTTCAGAGATGCCTGTCTCAAAGAGACTTCTGGGTATGGTGTTTGTCTAAAGGAGTGGAATAATTTGATACATAGGAAGCCTATGAAGTGTTTAACCATTTCCGTACGGCACTCACCAGCCGCGAAACCTTGCCCACAGCCGGCACTCGCGGTCCGCACGGTGGTCTGTGCCGTGCATTGACGACAAGTCTGTTTTGCTCCTGTGTGACGAGGAAAGCTTTAACGCACTGAAAGCTTGTTTTACTTTCCAGGCAGCTTTACTTGTAATGTAAATCAGAACAGGTAACATATACATATATGTTTTCATTATGTTATTTTTAAATGTTCACAATTTTATTTTGATAAATGAAAAATTAGAAAAGTCAAGTTTTGTTATTAATGCTAAAGTCGGCACCCGGCTGTGCGCCCTCATATCACGGCTGTCGGCTAAAGTCGAGGCCCGGCTGTGCGCGTTCATCTGTGGCTGTCGACTGTAGTCGACGCTCTTACCGAAGTGGTTAAAAGAATTATACTAACTGGGGCTGGGAAAAATGGTGGAGTAAAGGCAACCCCCCGGATTCCTGCTCCCAGGGAAGGAGACACAGATCTTGGTCTCTTACACGCAAGTGGATCTCCCCCTACAAGGACAGCATCAAGAGTTGGCAGAGGGCTCTTCCTCTCCAGCCTCGGCTCCGGACCCTGCAGTCGCCGCCATGTTGATGCCCAAGAAGAACCGGATTGCCATTTATGAACTCCTTTTTAAGGAGGGAGTCATGGTGGCCGAGAAAGATGTCCATATGCCTAAACACCCAGAATTGGCAGACAAGAACGTGCCCAACCTTCATGTCACGAAGGCCATGCAGTCTCTCAAGTCACGAGGCTACGTGAAGGAACAGTTAGCCTGGAGACAGTTCTACTGGTGCCTTACCAACGAGGGCATCCAGTATCTCCCTGATTATCCCCATTGCCCCCTGAGATCGTGCCTGCCACCTTGCGTCGCAGCCGCCCAGAGACGGGCAGACCTCGGCCGAAAGGTCTGGAAGGTGAGCGACCTGCAAGACTCACAAGAGGGGAAGCTGACAGAGACACCTACAGGCGGAGTGCTGTGCCCCCTGGTGCTGACAAGAAAGCTGAGTTTAGAGGCGGATTTGGCCGTGGACGTGGTCAGCCACCTCAGTAAAAAAGTGGGGGGGGGGCTATTTTGTGTTGAATAAACCTGTAGCCAGAAAAAAAAAAAAAAGAATTGGCAGAGGTTCAGCTCGAGACTTCCAAAAAAGGAAAAAACAAGGTGATGGGAGATAAGAGCACATTCTCTAGAGAGTGCAAAACAAACAATAGGGCGCGTGGGAGGGCGCCGGCCCGCCGGGCTAGCAGATGACGTGGGACATCATCAGACCCACAGGAGAACTCCTTGCTTCCCCATCGACCTCCACACCCACCCAGCCAGGGACCTGTCTGAAGTTGGTGCGAAATCGTGGCAGGAGAAGAGGGTGCTGTGGAGAGCCGTCAGTAGTGGAAATTCCCTGAGCCCCGCGCTAGGACGGCTCCAAGACGGGAGGAGACTGAACTGAGCTGATAGGGGAGGCAGTTAGATGTCCTGCCTCTGGTCACGAGCGGGGCCAGCCCCACAGACCTGTTCACTAAGTCGGGGGCTCTAAGCTGGAACTGCCTGGGGCGAATGAGACTGCACAGGGTGGGTCAGTAAGAGCGAGAACCATGGCTGAACTGGCGGTCGAGAAGGCGGCACAGAGGAGGCAACGGGCATCCTGACGACCCAGACCCCCAACCTGGCACCTACCACCTCCTGAACAGTCGCCCCCAGTGCTGGGGCCATGTGAGTAGGCAAGCAGTTGCCATTGGGGGGATCCACAGCCCAGCTGCGGGGCACATAGCAGTGCGATATGGAGTGACGGACAGGTCCCTTCTCCCAGCCTAGAGACTCTCCTGACAAATCCCACCCCTACACAATCTGTGATCGGCTCGCCAGGCCTGGCTCAATCAATGAACTCCCGAGAAAACTAACACCAACAGGAGCCACAGTCACTGGGGGGGGGGGGGGGGCAGGGCAGACTGGGGAGTCACTTCCTCCCCCAGCCCACATCTCTCCTGCTGAAAGTGGTAGGCTCCACCCCCGCAGGCGGGGTGAGACAAGAAAACCCACTCTCCCCCAGATCTAGGGAGAATCTGCTGGGCCTGTGTGCAGTGCTTAAGCAGGCAGTATAAAAGACTTTGCTTCTCAGAACAGCTTAAGTCACCCAGTTGATCAAAACGCTGGGGCTGGATCTCCTCCCCCAGTCAGGGCTGTGGTCAAGGAACGAATCCTCCACAAGCAGCCACTAGGCTCCACAAGCAACCCCTCCCATCAGGGGTACCTTCCAAGTGTGGTGGAAGAGCTCCCCCCAGTGGCTGATCAAGAAACTACAGAAGAGAGGAAGCCTGGGCACCATCAGCTGATCCAGATGGGGAGAGCCCAGCGTAAGATTTCTGGAACTTCAAAAAAATCAAACAGAAAATTCTCCCCCTAGGAGATACACTAGCTCTCAAGAAATGGAGACTGAACAAACCCAAAACACTAAAATGACAGAAGAAGAATTCTAAAATTGGATTGTAAGAAAGCTCAATGATATGCAAGAAAAAATGGGCAATCAACACAAAGAAACCACAAAGAAGATTCAGGGCTTGGAACAAAGATTCACTAAGGAAATTGAGATCTTAAATAAAAATCAATCCGATCTCCTGGAAATGAAGAATTTATTCAGGGAAATACAAAACACAGTGGAAAATCTCAAAAATAGGGTGGACCAAACAGAAGAAAGAATCTCAGAGATTGAAGATAACACTTTCCAATTAAATAAATCAGTCACAGAAATAGAGCAGAGAAACAAGAGAAAAGAACAAAGTCTACAAGACATGTGAGATTATGTGAAGAAACCTAATGTGAGCTTCATAGGGTTACCAGAGGGGGAAGAAGAAAACACTCAAGGGTTGGACAAGCTATTTGAAGATATAATAGAGGAAAATTTCCCAAGCATTGCTAAAAATCTCCAGATATAAGTTCAAGAAGCTCAAAGGACCCCTGGGAGTTTCAATGCAAACAGAAAGACATCATGACATGCAGTCATCACACTGATCAAAATGTCAATTAAAGAGGCCCTTTTATGAGCTGTAAGATGAAAGAAGCAAGTTATGTACAAAGGAAAGCCAATCAAGATAACACCAGATTTCTCAACTGAAACACTACAAGCAAAGAGAGACAGGGGCCCCATTCTCAGTCTTTTGAAATAAAATAATGCTCAGCCTAGAATCTTGTACCCTGCAAAACTAAGCTTTATATATGAAGGAGAAAGTAAGACATTCTCAGATAAGAAAAGTCTGAGGGAATTCACCAAGATAAGACCAGCCCTACAAGAAGTACTCAAAACAGTGTTTGTTACACACGGAACAGCATAAAAAAAACTCATGAACATAAAAACACCCAAAACCTAAAGATTAAAGGCCATATATCACAATGGCTCAAGAAAGAAATCAAAGCAACAACGTCCAACTCAACAGAATGAACAGTAATCTGCCTCACCTATCAGTTCTCTCAATAAATGTAAATGGCTTAAACTCCCCACTCAAGAAACATAGGCTGGCTGAATGGATAAGAAAATACAAGCCAGGTATCTGCTGTCTTCAGGAAACACATCTAACCTGCAAAGATGCATATAGACTAAAAGTAAAGGGGTGGAGATCAGTGTTGGCAAGCGGAAGCCAAAAGAAGGCTGTCATGGTGGTTCTGATCTCAGATGATTTAGTTTTTAAACCAACAAAAGTAGCGAAAGACAAAGATGGGCATTATATAATGGTGAAGGATACAGTTCAACAAGAAGAGATAACAATTTTAAATTATATGCACCCAACTTAGCTGCACCCAGATTCATAAAGCAAACCTTACTGGATCTAAGCAAATTGATTAATAGCAACTCCATAATTACTGGAGATTTCAACACCCCACTGACTGCACAGGACAGATCCTCCAAACAGAAAATTAATAAAGAAATAATGGACTTAAACAAAACGCTAGAACAATTGGGTCTCACTGACATTTACAGGACATTCTACCCAAAATCCACTGAATATACGTTTTTCTCATCAGCTCACGGGACATTCTCTAAGATTGACCATATCCTAGTACACAAAGCAAGCCTCAAGAAACTAAAAAAAAATAGAAATCATACCATGTATCTTCTCAGATCACACTGGAATAAAAGTAGAAAGCAACCTTAACAGAAACTCATATTTCTACACAAAAATGTGGAAATTAAACAACCTTCTACAAAACAATTACTTCATAAATGAAGAAATCAAGATGGAAATAAAAAAATTCTTGAACAAAATGACAATGGAGAGACAAGCTATCAAATCCTCTGGGACACAGCTAAAGCAGTACTGAGATGAAAGTTTATCTCCATAAAAACCAAAAGTCAAAAAGATCACAAATAGACAATTTAATGAAACAACTCAAAGATCTGGAGAAAGAAGAACAGACCAACCCCAAATCCAGCAGAAGAAGTGAAATTAACAAGATCAAATCAGAACTAAACAAAATTGACAACAGGGTAGCTATACAGAATATTAATAAAACAAAAAATTGGTTCTTTGAAAAAATAAACAAAATTGACATGCCTTTGGCTAGGTTAATGAAAAGCAGAAAAGAGAACTCTCTAATAAGCTCCATCAGGAACAAAAAAGGAGATATCACAACTGATCCCAAAGAGATACAAGATATAATTTATGAATACTACAAAAACCTTTATGCACACAAACTGGAAAATGTGTAGGAAATGGACAAATTTCTAGAAACACACAGCCTCCCTAGGCTCAACCAGGAAGAAATAGAATTCCTGAACAGACCAGTATCAAGAGCCGAAATAGAAACAGCAATTAAAAATCTTCCTAAAAAGAGAAGTCCTGGCCCAGATGGTTTCACACCTGAATTTTACACAGTTATAAAGAAGAACTGGTGCCTATATTGCAGAAACTATTCCACAACATCGAGAAGAATGGAAACCTCCCAGACACCTTTTATGAAGCAAACATTACTCTGATACCAAAACCAGGAAAGAGTTGCAACAAAAAAAAGAAACTACAGACCAATATCCCTTATGAATATAGATGCAAAAATTTTCAACAAAATCCTAGCTAACTGAATCCAGATGCTTATCAAAAAAAAATAATCCATCATGACCAAGTGGACTTCATCCCAGGGATGCAGGGATGGCTCAACATACGTAAATCTATAAATGTAATTCACCACATAAACAGAAGCAAAAACAAAGACCACATGATTCTTTCAATAGATGCAGAAAAAGCATTTAACAAAACTCAACACCCTTTCATGATAAGAACACTTAAGAAAATAGGCATAGAAGGGACATACCTAAAAATGATACAAGCCATATACAACATACCCATAGCCAACATCATACTGAATGGGAAGAAATTGAAAGCATTCCCACTTAGAACTGGAACCAAGCAAGGCTGCCCACTATCTCCACTTCTATTCAACATAGTGCTGGAAGTTGTGGCTATAGCAATCAGACAAGAAAGTGGAATTAAAGGTATACAAATTGGGGCAGAAGAGATCAAACTTTCACTGTTTGCTGATGATATGATATTATATTTAGAAAACCCCAAGGATTCAACCAAGAAATTCCTGGAATTGATAAATGAATTTAGTAAAGTCTCAGGATACAAAATCAATACACAGAAATCAGAGGCATTCATATACGCTAACAACAATCAAATTGAGAACCAAATCAAAGACTCAATACCCTTCACAATAACAACAAAGAAATTAAAGTATCTAGGAATATACTTAACCAAGGAGGTAAAAGACCTCTACAGGGAGAACTATGAAACACTGAGGAAGGTAATAGAAGAGGATGTAAACAGATGGAAATCCATACCATGCTCATGGGTCAGCAGACTCAACATCATTAAAATGTCTATACTACCCAAACTGATCTACAGATTCAATGCAATACCTATTAATATCCCATCATCATTCTTCACAGATATAGAAAATATAATTTTACGCTTCGTTTGGAACCAGAGAAGACCCCGCATATCAAAAACAATTCTAGGCAATAAAAACAAAATGGGAGATATTAATATGCCAGATATCAAACTATACTA